CTCACCCGCCTGTCCATAGAATAAACAAATTATTCAAGTAAGCATAAAACATCCAATGCATATGTGACGGTACATATATATGATGCTTATATGATTGTGAATTTAACAAACAGAAATTACTTGTCCGTTCCAACTATTTCCCAGAAAAGTTTACCCTCGTGAGTTTTTTCGATGCATGAGACAACAGTAGTTAAAAGAAAAGGACCAGGAATACGGTGATTCGAAACAGACGCTGAAATCAAAACAATGGTGAATCATTTTGTACTGTTATGGCGTGACCTACGGCAAAATCACGACGCAACCTCCAGCCGCGTAGCAGACTCACCCGACCACGGCATTTTAACTCAGACAGCCAATGAGCGTGCGCTGTAGTATGAACCACGTGTAATACTGATGTCTATTTCATACCTGTTTGCGCTTTGGGCAAAAGGCAATGACATTGAAAAACGGTCGACGCTAGCTTTAAGAACGATACCCCGGTTTGACAACAGTTGAGTGCACCACACTTGGGATATGGGAGTTTGAAGACGAGTTCATTTCTATCCAACCAGGTAATCCTGCTCATTGTGTATAAAAACTGGGTGTAAAACATAATTCTGGGTCTGCATCTGTCGTTTAGCAGTTGCCTTTTAAAGAACTCAGATCAATATGTCACGCACGGGAGTCGATTAACAGAATGCTTACAAAAGCACGTTTGTATGGGGCGGATCGAATTTCAGTAGGACCTAATTTCCACTTTACGACTTCCATCATAACGGGGTGCAGTGAAGATAATATTCCTGCGCTACGTAATGGTGCATTTTTTCTAAATCGATAAAGGAAACAGCTGTCCCCCTACCACCCATATTATTGGCCTATAACCCATAGCAGCGGGTCTAAATGATACGTTATGAGAATTCGACGCAACTAAAACTCGCTTAAAACCAAACAGATTCCGCCCCTCAACCTAGCACACTGATCTCCTGCATGTCCGAGTACTGCTTACGAGTAATTTCCCACGCGGCCTTCCACCTACGCCCAAATTTTAATCGATGCAAGTGAACGTACTTCATTGACAGCGTCGGTAGCGGCCGCTGATGTT